GTATCCCCTATACTGGCTTCTGTATGTAGATTTGTGAAGAGGCAACTACTATGGTAACAATAATTTGGAATAGTGCACTGATATCAGATATATAAGAGCCCTTATAAATGAGCTCAGGATATGCAAATGAAATTGCACAAAAGAGGAAATGCAAATACACAAAAACACTTCAGGAAGTGTACAAGCTTGCTTATTGCAAGTTAAAACTAAGTGCATCATCACAGAGTGCATCTACTAAAGCAGTAAAGCATTTATATAAATGCTTATAAAATACAAAATAATGTTTTTAAATAATTATATAGTATTATAATCTAATAACATATTGGAGATGAAAGAGAGATGATCATTTATCTTGGTAGAGCATTCTAGAAAGACAAAAAATGTTATTAGGTATTGGCCCAACCTAGTGATTCCATTCTAAAGACTTTATTAAACATCATAAAGGTATTAAATGAAGTTTTGTGCACAATAGCAAGAACCTGAAAGTTCAACATTCAGAGAATGTTACTGATAGATCAACATTACATCACTACTAATGATCATTAAGTAAGACTATACATCTGCTCTGCCAATAAAATAGCCACTATCCATGTGTAGCTGCTTGAATACAATTAAACTTAAAATTCAGTTCCTCAGTCAAATTAGCCACATTTCAATTGCTCACCTAGCTATATGGGGTGGGCAAAAGTAGGTTTACAGTTGTTCGTATGGAAAATATTACAATAAATAAATAATACAAGGATAAACTCTTTTGCGTACTCATAACTGTAAACCTACTTTTGCCCACTCTGTATATGGCTAGGGACTATTAGGCTGGATGCTGCAGCAAACATTTCCATCACCCCCAAAAGTTCTGTGGGAAAGTGTTGACCTGCACCTCCTCCTCCCCACATGCACCCATTTATCTAGAAACACCTACCTAACCTTCAGGCCTTGGCCTAAGCCGCTGATTGACCCAGGAAATTTAGGTGTACCTTCCTGTAGGCTCATCACACCTCGATAACTCCAATACAAAAACTGCATCACATATCATCATTTTCCCCATCACAGTCCTGTAAGCTTCTTGAAGGAGGAACCAACTTTTATCTAGGAGCTTTGAACTGTTCTAGCACATACATATAGCACCTTCGTAACTTGTCACAGACTAAGAACATTGCTGGAAACAACGCAGATGTACACTGTGACTACAGGTGAAAATGTTTATGTATAAAGAAAACTGGGTTAGGTTGGCAGGCTCACAAGTGATTTTTTTTTAAACTACTAATTCTTTACCTCTCTCAGTACCTAAACACTAGCCTCATTCACAGGTCTTCAGTAAATATTTGTGGAATAGTTTCTGTATTTTAAAAAAAAAAAAAAGACTCCAAGAATGAATCCTAATGTAAACTATGGACTCTGGGTGATAATGATGTCAATGTAGGTTCAGCAATTGTAACAAATGTACCACTCTGGTGGGGGATGTTGACAACAGGGAGAGGCTATACATGTTTAGGGTCAGGGGGCACATGGAAAACCTTCATGCCTTCCACTCAATTGTGCTGTGAACTCTGAACTGCCGTTGAAACAAAACAAAACAAAACCTGGACTATTTTTAAAAAGACATAGATGCCAAATTAGAAATCAAATTTAGCTTATTATGATATTAAAAGCGTATGTTTACATGTTAGATCCCAATATTTTGTTCAAAAATAAAATATATCATAGATTTATAATAAATTTTTAAAATTAAATCTCAAATTTGTAACCCAAATAAGACTTGTTTCCAGTGTATAATAAAATCCGACTTAAATAATCCCAGGTGCAGTGCTTTGGTTGCCATGAATACACTAACTCAACTTCCACTCTTTACTAAGCACCTATGTATGCAAAGCACTGTGGTCACAATGGCTAATGGCGAATAAGACAATTTTTGCTCTTGCAATATTTTTTCCCAAGAACGAACTTTATTAGCAAGATAAATCTTTAAACCCAGCTATCAATAATAGATATCCCAAAATGACAAAACCAAGCTTCTTTTAGTATCCCTATTTTCCAAATAACTTAAAAAAACTATTAACCATTTGAGAAAGTAGTATACAACCTAAAACAAAAAGTTAATGCCTCATTTACTTGGCATCCTTGGGAGAGCTGGTGTTCCACATAAATGAATTTTCCAGATAACTCACACTTGTCCATTTAGTAGTCAACACTTAAACTGTTCAGCATGGAGAGCTTTTTTAAAAAAAAATAACAAAAACAAAAAACAGCACTTATCTTTAAACTTTAAAAAATTGGCTATATTTACATTATCCTAATAATTATTGTGTTGTACAACACCCAAGCCCCTAATATATGTCCCCAGGGTTCCTTTGTACAAGTTTCAGCTTTGAAGAGTTTTTCTTCTGATCCCTGGCTTTTGGTTTGTCAGCTGTCAACTTCTGCCACTATTAATGTGAACCTGACTCGAGCAGCCTCCCAGCCGCCTTCAAATTTGCTGCTACTTGGAAAACAAGTTTGTCAGAATTTTGCCTAAAACACACAGGCTTTAAAAGGTTCGAGAAATCTATTTTGGTTGTTCAGAGTCTATGTCCTGAATCTGCTAAAATCTATAGTTAAAACTTCCAAACAAGGTTTAGGATTAAATAAGTTACTCCTATGTCTTGATGAAAGTCCTTACATTGTTTTCACATTTCAAATTGATGCTCAGAGACAACTTCATTACCTATTCACTGATGCAACAAATATCTGAGTATCACTACAAGCTAGGCTCCAATATTACTGTGAAGAACTGAAAAGATGACTAGTTTTGAACATATTTTAAGATAGAAAAACTAATACAAAAAACTGTTCTACTTAGTGGCTAAAAAACCAAAAATGTGGGTTTTTTTTTAAAGTCTTTTAAGTGAAACTACAACCCCCCCTAAACTTTTTATAATATCTGTAGGTTTGTTTAGACTTAGAAACTGAAGATCCAAGGGTAAAGGAAGCTTTTGGTTTAACTAAACGTTTATTTTATAGAACTCTGAGTAAGATTCCAACATTCTCTACCTTTTTTTTTCTATTTAAAATTCCCATCTAGCTAAAGAAATCACTATCAACACATGCTTTAGTATTAAATGATACTCTCAAGTCTTGGTAATGATAAGCATACCATTTCAGCACTATAGTAAGTTTACCATCATTTTAATGTTGAACAACACTGATTAGAAAAGTATTAATTCGGGGAAATTTCTGTCCAAATTTTCACAAGTTCCAATGTACTTCACTTTGGGGTAAGGAAATTTTTCTTAAAGTTTTAAGACTGGGTAAAATATGGTGTGATTTTACATAATTTGCTTTATCGGCCACAATCATAGTTTTTACATTCCATTACCCATTAAAACATAAGGCTAGGAAATGTGTCAAGGAGTGCAACTTAAAATTGGTCTCTATGGGTTAATTAAGACATCAGGTAAAACTCCTGGCATCAGCCTCGTTTTAATTCCCGTGAAATCTCCCTTCTCATTCATATTCTCCTCAGGGGGCATAAGTGACAATTCATATTTTAGATTTTATAATTGATTACTTATTGTTTTTATTATTTAGATTGAACTGGAAATGGGTATTAGTCATGTGCCTGCTGATTTAAGAAAGTAAAATATTTAGAAGTGATAAAAGTTACTACCATTAAAAACCTTCCATTACTACCATTAAAAAGCCTTTCAGCAGTGTGTTAATATCTCTTCAACATTCATTTTGCAACCTAAAAATGCTTTAAGCAGTACTATAAAGGGAGATCCTGAATCCAACTTTCAAAATAACAAAGTAGTGCTATTTAAAATGTCACTAAATATCACAGTAGTTTTTACAAGTTGGCTCTGACCTTAGTATAGCACCTTCTCCTATGTAAGAAGTCTGATTTTAAATAAAAACAATTCAGAGAGAAACCCAACTACAGGTGCTTGCTCTCTCTACAAGCAATTTAGGCAAAGAAGCAAGTGACAAATATTTACTGGACACACCTGTTATAAGCAATCTCTCTACCAGGTGCTTCACACCACCTATTAAAAAAAACACAGATCCTGCTCGGGATATTTATAATATAATTAGGAGAAAGATACTAAAATATCTTAGATATGAAAATTCTATTGATATTAACCAATAGAAAAATAAAAACATTTGAATTAAAAAGTGATTATGAACATGTAACATTCTGGCAGCAGAAATGGAGGGCAATCAGTTCAAATGTAAAGAAAATAAAATTCTTTTTGCCTCCCTATTTTAAATCTGGCAATCAAAATCAGCAAGAACTAAGAAGTGGGCCAAAAGCATCACCACAGAAAAGAACGAAATTCTCAGGAGCAACTGGTACTGGACCATTCAAAACAAAGTCTTTCTGTGAGTGTTCATCAGTAGTAGTTTCTATCCTACCATCTCCTTATTAAATAAAAACTGATTCCCGGCTATCAACTCTGCGGAAACGGAAGCTTCAGGGAAACACTCTGGACACTTGTCTCCCCGGTACCACTTAGGGTCCATCTGCAGAATCCCAGGGGTCGGAGCACAGCGGCAGGGAAGCGGTCTATTGTTCCGGGAGCCGCAGGTTCATCCGAGCACCACGGGGCGCGCGGGCGCAGGGCGGGCGAGGCGCGAACGCGGCACAGGTGTGTGGGGGGCACAGGTGTGCCAGGGCCACAACTAATGCAGGCAGGCCCAACTTCCCGACCGAGACAGCGAGCAAGGGAGGGAAACAAAGTCATTACTGAGGATTAAACCTGCGCAGGGGGTGGTGGCGGGGACTGGGGAGGGTCTGAAGGGCCTCCGGAGCCCCCCTGCCCGGAGGCCGAGGACTGAGAGTGGACAGTCCCGAGGATAAAAGAAGCGGCTCTCACATCGAAGGGCCAGCCTAGAGCCCCAAACAATGGGCAACGGGCAGTCTGGGTGAACGGCGAGGACTCGGGGTGTCGCGGAGGTGGAGCCGGGTGGGAAGAGGGAAACAAAGAGAGAAGCCCCCAAGTGTGAGCCCCGCGGCGGCGACTTACCTGGGAGAGCTGCCGGGGATTGGGGCAGCCGAAGAGCGCGGAGCTGGAGCTGAAGCTGATGGCTCCTCGGCGGCTGAGGACGTGCTGGGGGACCGGCCTGTCCAGGGGCAGCACCGGCAGCTGGTAACATATTTCCATTGAATACGCCCGCCCTGCCCCGGCCGCCGGCCCCTGCGCTGGGAAGGGGCCGCGGCTGCGGGGCGCCG